TTTTCGGTGTAATTAATACTTTTATAAATTATTTCACTGTATTTAACACCAACAAAATTGGTGATTGGACTTTCGAATGCACCCATCAATATTGGCACCCATACATTCATATAGTTTTATACTTTTATCATATTATATTACTATATTATAAATCATTTTCTATATATCAAATTTGTATATTATAACCCTAACAGAAATCATGTCTATATCCGATATTGAGTCCAGCCATTATTTGTTTGACATTGGGATAGCTGTAAACTTGTAATTCTTTGATCCAATAATAAAATGAGACTGGAAAACAAAAATCGTTATAGAGTAACAAATATCATAACACAATCATTTACTCAAGGCTCAGCCAAGTTTGAGAGAGTAGTTTTTAAGAAGTGTATACACATATAGATAATAAATATATATGTACGTGCCAAGGCTGAGACATCTCTGATCTTTGAGGTCTTGTAATGTCTTTTTAATGTTAAAACTCTCAAGGAAGAATAGAACATGGTGATGGGGGGGTTGGGATTTTTAGCGGAGGTCGAGGACTTCGTATTTGAGTTTGGAGTTGAGGAAGACGTGTGAGCAATGCTCGTAGATTGGGTTACCGTCTTCTGCTTCTTCGTGCGGGTGGAATCCTCGTTGCTGGCAGTTACGGATCACGGATACACCAGATGGATCAGAGAGATGGAATATTCCGTGAGGTGTTGATTCGTCTGTTGGAGCCATTACGATTGCAACTGCCTCCGGTAGCATTATCTGGGAAGGAAGATAGACATGGACCATATGGTAAAACAGATGTAGATAACGGTCTGGATATAATCGCAAAATAAGTGATAAGCATATAGATACTGAACGGGGAAGTTTGTACGTACCTGATATGAGTAGTGTGTGTGAAGATCAACCGAAGACATGAAGCAAGTTTGTGTAGGGTGTGTCTGAAACGAAAATGTAATTAGCCAGAAGAATCGATTTGGAAATGTTCCGAGTAAGCTTATCGGTAAGTGATCACCCGGAAAAAAAACTAGAAATGGAAGATCTTTTTGTTCGTATATATAAACACGGTAAGCGTGAAAGAAAGCGGAGAAACTAAAGGAAATGACATGGATTTTGTGGTCTATGAGGTTGAGAAGACTTACATGGATCCAACCCAAGGGAAATAGGGAGAGTTTGTCTTGTACTTCGAATATTTCCTCTTCGTTTAGTGTTTGACACTGTACATTATGAAATGAAAATGAACCAAATGTGAGAAGAATCCCACTGGAGAGTAAAATAAATACTTGCGGATGTAAACGGCTAAGGAAAATGAAGAACATACAGAATCTGAGGTGGACTCCTGCTTTGGGATTATAAGAGTAGTGATATGAAAAACCCTGTTTTTCTAGAAACACAGAAAGAAATAAATTAGCGTATATAAGGGATGATAAGATGAGCTAACTATAAATTCCAAGCACAATATAATGATACAAAGATGTTTCGTGAACTCACCAGAGAGCCGGCAAGCACTCCACAAGTTTCTAAATTCTTTTCTGTGTTTGACCGAGCTAGCCTTAAGAAATCATCCATTATGCGCACAGGCTTCAACAAATTTATATAAAGGGACATTAGTACTAAATTAACAAGACGAATTCTAATGGGAATGTTCCATACAATAGTTTATGGATTAATTAACGTTGATTCTTAAACACCGACAGAGTTAGATTAATATGCGGTATAGTTCTCAAATTTCTATCTACCCTAAAGCACAAGTTATCGAATTGATGGAAGTTGCATATAAATAAAAGAAGTCACAGCTGGAACTTACAACATGCAAATGCTGATAAGAATTGCTGCCTTCTTTTTCGTCTAGAGAAGGAATCGCAGGTCCTGGTCTAGGATCAGCGACTTTAGATGGGCAAATTGGGGCTAACTCTTGATGCACTTGGGCAAGCACAGGAGGAGGGGAAGGTTGCTTCATACCAACAAACTGAAAGGGATCTTCAGTTGCATCACTAATAAACTGGGAAGACACCGCCTCAGAATGACGCTGCCATCGACCATCATCTAAGGAGAGCACAGAGTTCAGTGTTGAGACCCCTTGAGAATCACCATTAAGTGATGTTGAGGAACCGATAGGTCCAGCTTCAATCAAACTGTAGAAATCCATAAAGTAAGTTAGACATAGACATGGTTTCTATAGAGATGCTTAAAAAAGCAACAGAAGATAAGTACTTACCCTGAATTTTCAGAAGAACCCCAATCGGTATTACTCGGATATTGAACCTGTCATTCCATACAAAACAAAGATTCTTCTCAGCTCCTTCAAATCTAAACTCAAATTAACATAAGAAAAAGAGAAGAGTGAGGAATTGTGGGAAAGACAACAACGATCAGCAATTTTTACCTTTTTCTCCGACTTGGGTGCAACCCATTGACTTTTAAGACCATTTGGACCTAGAAATGAATGTCTAGACAAGGTTGCTTGGTTTGGAGGCAGAAAATCAAAAGATCTGCAGGTTTAGGAGCACAATTAAATTATCAATGATCATCTCAGGTTATCATGGACCAAGCACTTGAGTCTCATATACACATTTCTTGCTTCGACACTTCAAAACCTCTAAGATCTAGAGATAAATACTAGAAAACGCAAACAACAATTATCTTCAAACAAGATACCACAAACAGAAAAGTCAAGAAGCATTGGCGGTTTAGTACATCAGAATGCCAATTTTTCTGATAAGAATGACCCAAACATCTTTATCAAATTTATTGTGGTCGCAGGAATGGGCAGAGCTAATGAAGAAAGCCAATGACATTGTGCATAGATACCCATATATATCAGGGTTTAGAAATCTCCGAGAACTTATGGTGTTTGAATTCCTATTAAACAGAATTACTGACAATTATATCAAGGCAGAATACTCACAGCTTCTGGAATTGCTGATCAATCGGTGTCCGATTTGTCGATGAAGTCAGATTATTATTATACTTCCAGGATGGCTGAGATGTCTGTTGTAAGGCTGACTGCATCCCGGGAATAAAGAAAAGGCAATGCCGGTAAGAAAACAAATGAATTTGAAGGTTTAGAAAAGTTAATTTTGAAGATGCAATGATAAAAGTAACCAAAAATAAGCGTAGAGTCGATACAAATTCCAAGTTCAATACCTTAGTAATATCAGGTCTGGAGTATGTAGCTTTGTGGACAGGAGGCCATTCAACAGCATCTGAACTATGTGATATGAGCGAGAGATCACTTCCAGCCAGATAAGATTCATCCTCGGCTCTATTCAGCTGATCCACTCGCCGGTTAAATTCCGGTTTCAGAGACTCGAGCTCATTGATTACAGCACGCAACCTCTGTTAAACAAAGAAAGCCACATCTGAGAAATATTCCTATGTCGGAAAACACGAAAACAACATTCGAAAGGATAAAAACAGAAAATACCTGACCTTCCTACTCCCAAGTCTTTCCTGTGGAAGCGATGCTTGATAATCTCGATGAAAAGGAATCGTTTCAGAGATCAAACTGCGAAAAAGAAAAAGAACAAACTTATAGCTCTTACATGGAAAATATAAACAAACTACTACATATAGTTGATTCTTCTTCTCTACTCACCTTGAATACCTAAGAAGCATGATATACAAATCCACAACATTCTTCTCTTCTCGATATATGCTCGCCTGAGCAATGTTTAGACAAACATCCAAATAAATCAGACAAATCATACAAATTGGAATACATTACAAGTACATGTTTCTCTATAAGATCATTCGAACAAAAATCCTAAGTAACTGGAAAGAAGTAGCCAAATTAGGGTTTACACAGAAACCAGAAATTCGATCACTGATCCGATAACACTTTTAAAAATCTAATTGACCCTAAACCTAAACACAGAAATCAATTCCAGCGAAATCAAATCCTTGAAAAGCTTAAACATATATTGAGATGGGAGATTGGAATCGGAAACAGACCTGTCGGAGGAGATTATCGGCGATGCGGTAGTAAAGACGGAGAGGGATACGATTATCGACCTCGACTTTACGAGCTACCTTGTTTAGATCAATCTTCATTTTCGCCGAGTTTACTAATCTTTTCCCGATTTCGATAACTTTTCCGGCGAAAATTCCGCTCGAGATCGCACGAACGATCAATGGCACTGAGGAAAACGTAAGAGACGGAACAAGTATAATAAAACTGCGTCGTTTTAGGAAACCAATGTCGACATGATTACACCAACGAGGTCAATGAGTCCGTCCGTCTCCAATAAAAAGGATAAACTTTGAAATCCAGACCGACCCGTCCGGTCGGACTTGTAAATCCGAAGCCTAAGCAAGCACTAGTTCGGTTTGATTCGTTTTGTCCCGGTTTATAAATCATTGGGCAATTTCCAACTTTATCTACCTTAAGCTTCTAGCCATTTAAGTATTTTTATCGTTAGCAA